ATAAGTCAAAAATATATTTTCCTGTAGTCTGAATGTGTACAACAGGGGTTTGAGCAAAGCTTTTACCATTAAATGATGCAAAAAAGTCTCCGATCCAAAAGACTTCAGAAACCGTATGAATCAGATATGATACATTTGGCATTATAGGGAAAGCTGAAAACTTTTGAGAGCTCACAGAAGCCTCGAAAAGGGCTTAAAAAGCTTGTTTTGGTTTATTCTCATGGTATTTAGACAGTAGTTTTAACTCCTGGAAGGGAAACCAACCGGACATTTTCATTACCGTCTGTCCAGTTAACCCTTTAAAGCCTGATCCAAGAAAAATAGGAAGAATTTTGGATTATTTTAGTCTGAAGTCTTTCTTTGGCCCCTCAACAACATATGAAGAAAAAAAAACAGACATTATTTTGATCAAATGAGCGTGCAATAAGTAAAAAAATCTATGTTGGTGTAGTCTTCTACTGGCTGTTATCAGGTATATCTGAATGTGTACAACAGGGGTTTAAGCAAAGCTTTTACCACTGAATGATGCAAAAAGTCTCAGATCCAAAAGACTTCAGAAACCGTATGAATCAGATATGATACATTTGGCATTATAGGGTTAATAGCTGTTTTAGAGATGAGTCAGAGCAGGTTTACAAAGTTCAGGCGTGCTGGGAGAGAAAAGCACTAGTGAGTTTTCATTTTTTTAAATCGCATTTACAGTCGGAGTTTGACTGTTTGACCTGCTAAAATCAGGTTATATTTGAAATTATACCACACACACTCTGTTTTTTACGTGAGCGGTGGATTTGTGTGTGTTTGTTTTCTAAAGAAATGACTCTGGAGTTCAGTTCAGAACTGGAAATAACAGAAAAGGAGAAAATCATAATGGGGGGGGGAAACAAATCCCTTCCTTTGATGGTCACATTTCTGAGATTTTTTCCTTAAATGAAGGAAAAAATAGTATAATTGCAATAACAATTTTACTATTTTTTCCTTTATTTATATTTCAGTTCATCCTAAAGATGGGGAGAAAAAATGGATTACTTTTTATTAAAGAAACAAATCTGTCAATTATATCTGTTTATGTTTCTTACATTGTGTTAAAATAAACAGAGATTTCAGATGATTTTTCTCTATGTTTTTCCCCCCCGAGTCGCGCTTTTTGGCTTTAATTGTTCCTAAAAGAGGTCAAAGGGCGTCTGAAGTGCCCGAAAAGTAGAGAAAGACGCACACGTTTTACACCAAAAGATATTTAAGAACCAACATCACCAGATCGCCACTGAATAAACCGGATTTTACCGACCAATCGGTACCTTTTAAAACCGATTCAGGTGGAAGAATTTGTGCTTTTTTAGATCCAGGATCATGGAGAAGTTTGACATAAAACACAGCCTACTAAATCTGAGGGTTATATTGTGAATTTTGTCGATTTTTCTCGTCTAACTGAGGCTTGGAGAGCTTGAAAATGAGCCTCAAATCTGTGACAAACACAAAACCAAGCAATTTTTTTTCCCCAGAGGCCTGAATGAGGAAGTATTTTCCAAACCAGATTACTTCAGAACCTCAGATCAATTCCTCTGAACAAACAACCTGCGCTTTAGTTTTGAAATGAGCTTCTGGGTGAAAAAAATCTGCTCCAAAGACTAGAACTAGACCACAAATGGGAGCGAAAGAGCCCCTTTTTGCTGCTATAAAACTCTGGAGAAGGTTTTTCCGGGTGCATTTAGACAGAGAGGGAGGAATCTGAGAAAAAGTCTGTCAGATGGCGATACAGAAGGCTCCTAACAGACGGCCTCAGCGGGATTCCCAGCTCTCCTCCATCCAACATTTACTGCCCCTGTAAGCATTTTCCTGCCAGTTTCCGGCTCCTTTTCATCATACACTGCTGTTTCAAGCATCCTAGAACAGATTCCCATTCATATATCCAAAACCTTTTACGTGATTATCCGCCTTTGGGCAAAAAAATCCAAATATTCAGACGAAATCGGGGGAGATTTCAGCCCCAAAACGGCCAAAAGAAAGCTTCTCCCAGGGAACATGATTTCCAGTTGGTTGGTGAACTATTTGAGCCAATAGGAGACAAATCTGGACACACAAACCCCAGAAAGGAGGAGAAAAATATCGGAAGAGTGTCGTGCTTTTGGTTCTTCTTTGAGGATCCCTGGTTCTTAACTCCTTTAGGGAGAGTTGTCTCACATGTCTGTAGGAAATCCGACAATTTCCTTAATCCCATCAAGGATGAATCTCCCATTTCTGTGTTAATCATTGAAATTGTTTGACTTTTCCTTTGTTCCATCCTCACTCATCTCCTGAGAAGATTCTCCTTTTGGTCCATCCAAATAAGCATAACTTTTTTCCTTTTGGAGATCCTCCATGGGACTTCCTTGAAGACTGAGGAGTAAATCAGAATCTCTTAGTTTGTTTCTGATAACAAACACAGTGGCCTTTTTCCTTTCCTTTATCCAGACTAACTTATATAAGTGGACGTGCGTTTTACCTGAGTTTAATCTGTGATCTATATTTGAATAAAACACCTTTATTGGACAAGATCTCAGTGAAAGCATCACATCTCTGGAGCTTAAGTCACAGACTGATGTTCCACTTTTCTCCACAAGATTGAAAAAATGGCTCAAAGACAATCAAGAGTGTGAGCACTAAACTGAATTGTACTGTACAGTTTTTTTATATATATTTTCTAACTTTTAAAAGCCTAACCAGGGACGAATGCTGCAAATTATCCCACGGCTACAAGCCTTATGCACTTGGACACCGGCCACCTGTTTGGTTGCAATGTTTAATTGTACTGTCCCTGTCAAATAAATATATGAATAAATAAATAAAAAAAGATCGATCTTCTCTAACTATTAAGAAACTTTGCCCTGACTCGTTTAAAGAACTTTTTCCATAACAACCAGTGTTCATGAGGCTGAAACCCAAATTCCTCAGAGAAGATAGAGAAAAGTCGACGCAAGTTGAGGAAGAACGGAATAAGGTAGAAACACTTTTTTTTTCCTGATGAAAGAAGAGAGTCTACTCTTTCTTTTGGTGTGTTCGGTGTTTACATAGTCATAGCACAAACTATTCTGTGGCTCTGGAAAAATCAGTCAAAATGCTAAAAAAACTCTGGCAGTATGGGACTCTGTTCTGAAAATGGCTGGCAGTCAATGAGTTAATCATCAGAATCAGAATCAGAATTAGGTTTATTGCCAAGTAGGTTTTTTCACCTACAAGGAATTTGATTTGGTGTTAGGTGCACAACACCTCTATGAGAAATAGAAGAATATGTATAGAATATAGAAATATAGAATATGTACATTCTAACAGTGAAAGACAGAATCCCAAAGAAAATTCCA